CCCTCCTGTTCTGAAATGTGATTTGTCCTTTTCATATGTGTTCATTTTTTTTAATTGTATCCTTTGGTATATATGGTTGTGACTATTTTCTTCCACTATTTGATCTGAGGAAGTGGGTCTGGCCCACGAAAGCTCATCATCTAATAAACCATCATTTTTTTTAATTGTATCCTTTGGTATATATGGTTGTGACTACTTTCTTCCACTATTTGATCTGAGGAAGTGGGTCTGGCCCATGAAAGCTCATCATCTAATAAACCATCTTGTTAGTCTTTACAGTGCTACATTGTCCTGCATTTTGCTTCAGCTACCCCAGACTAACACGGCTACATTTCTATCATTGTTGTAAGATGTTTCATTCTAAAGGCTCCCCATAGAATCCTAGGGCTGGAAGAGACTTCAGGAGATCGAGTCCAACTCTAACCACTTCACAAACTCCGTACTTGAAACCTGACATGATTATTGTTACAATGTTGTTTTATTTGAAAATGAAAAGATAGACACCAGCTGGGTTTTGGTGAGCTGTGCTTAGGATACAACCTTCTGTTTGAGTAAGTGGGTGCAGTTTCCTAGAAATCACTTCCACCAGTTATGGATCTGGCTCTTAATTTCCAGTTTCTCTTAGCATAGTAGTCAAGGAGCTTGAGACAGCAGGCAGTAAGATATTGAGCTTCTCCAGGTCTTAGTCTCCAGCTGGGAGACTCCTGACTATCAGAATAGGAGGAAACAGCATTAAATAGATCTCATGGGTAGGTGACCAAAGTGCAGCCTGTGGCTGATCTTGCAGTCAGTTCCATATGGGCAAACACTTCTGTTCATATGGAAAATTAGTGAAGCCAGTTGAACTCTGGGCCATAACAAGTGCTTGCCTGCACAGATCCATTTGCAGAATTGGAGGTGGTTTGCAATGGATGTGTAGCCTTCACAAGTGTGGAACTACCTGTCCAAACATCATGCATTGTAGGATGCTTTATTTAATCCCAATGCTCTTATCTTTCAGCTGTTCCAGTTGGTTCACTTATGTTTGACTGGGGCTTACAATTCTTATTTCTCTAAATCAGGTGCCGTATGTACCATCAAGTACCAAGCAAGTTGAGAATGTTATGTCGCTGCTGAAAGGACGTGCCGGAAAGATGGTGGATTTAGGATCAGGAGATGGCAGAATTGTAAGAGAGGAAAAAGTCCTTGTGTTTGATATTCACAGCTGCTGGTTGTATGCATTTTGAAGAATTATAACAGTATTAAAGGTAGATCTCCCTCTGCAAGAGCATGCACATCCTGATACCTGTTTCGTCAGTGTATATGCAGAGTAACTTAGTTGAGATTATGGTGGACGTACACCAGAGTAACCCCTTAGACTGGAAGCTCTTTCAAGGCAATTGCCTTGATCCATTCCTTGCAAAGGCTTCCTGGGACCGGAGCAGCTGTGAGTTATTCCACAAGGAGCATTCTTTGTGTCCCTTTCCTAGACTTGGACTTCTTAATGAATCTGGGACTGGAGGTGAGAGTCCCCATAGGGGTTTTGCTCCTGCACATCTTAGAATGACTCCTCTGGAAGCAGCTATAGTACCAGTGGAAGGGAATCTCCCTACAGTATGAGAAAAATATTTCTGATAAGACTGGCACTTACAACCATGCTCAAAACCTGTCTTGTTCTTTCCTCATTCTGAATCTGAGCCTGCAAGGTGCTAACTGAGCACACTGAACTGAGTGGAGTTGAAAATGCTCTTCACTGTATCAAGCCCTTAGTTTCTATTCCACTGCCTTCCTGATTTATCCCAAAGGATATTACATGCTGAGCCTTGCTGGCTACCTTCTAGACTTGCATCTGGTCACTATTACTCACTCCTTACCTTCCTACCTCATTCCCTACAAGATGTGTTAGTGACTGCTGTGCAAGTAACCATACTTCTTGTGGGTAATGCTCTTATCCCATTCAGTGGTTGCTGCTGGGCATGAAGTAGCTGGAAGCTGTCTCACTTACAGCCACTGCTCCAAAGATTATTTCAGGAACAAAAATGGAGATTAATTTTGGTTTCAATTCCTCTCTCCAGGTATTAGAAGCATATAAACAAGGTTTCAGACCAGCTGTTGGCTATGAACTCAACCCCTGGCTTTTGACACTCTCCAACTACCGCGCCTGGAGAACTGGATGTTATGGAAAGGTATTCTACCAACGGCAAGATCTATGGAAGGTAACTTTTTGTGGTGGAGTTAGGACTCTGGATTTCTCAGCCTGAGTACATTATCTCAAAGATCTAAGGAGCTATCTCTGCCAAACAAAAATCAGGGCTTTAGTCAGGCTGCACAAAAGGTTCAACATTCTCCAAACTTCTCATTAGCACTGGTTTTTTGTTTTGGAGAGAGTGTGTGCGCTGGGGAAGCCTGAGAAACCATGTGCTTTCTCTTTAAGGCACTAACTCACCAGATAGCTGGGTGGTTCAGACTGTAGCAGCTGCCAGCAGCTCTCCTGCTCCTGAGCCCTGACCCTCCACCCCAGTTTTCAGAGATAAGAACATCAAAACCGCCATACTGGGTCAGACCAAAGGTCCATCCAGCCCAGTGTCCTGTCCGCCGACAGTTGGCCAACACCAGATGCCCCAGAGGGAGGGATCGCAACAAGTAATCCTCTTGTGATCCCTCCCGTCACCCACCTCCAGAGAAACAGAGGCTAGGGCCACCATTCCTACCCATGGTGGCTAATAGCCATTGATAGACCTAACCTCCATGAATCTATCTAGCTCCTTTTTTAACCTTGTTAAAGTCCTAGTCTTCACCACATCCTCTGGCAAAGAGTTCCATGGGTTGACTGTGCACTGAGTGAAGAAAAACTGAGTGAAGATTATTTTTTCCAATGTGCATTACTTTACATTTATAAACATTAAATTTCATTTGCCATTTTGTTGCCCAATCACTTAGTTTGGGGAGATCTTTTTGAAGCTCTTCACAGTCTGCTTTGGTCTCAACTATCTTGAGCAGTTTAATATCATCTGCACATTTTGCCACCTCACTGTTTATCCCTTTCTCTAGAAGATCATTTATAAATAAGTTGAATAGGACGGGTCCCAGGACACACTCTTAGGGAATCCCACTAGTTACCTCTCTGCACTCGGAAAACTTACCATTTATTCCTGCCCTTGGTTTCCTGTCTTTTAACCAGTTATCAATCCACGAAAGGACTTTCTGTCTTATCCCATGATAACTTACTTTACTTAAGAGCTTTTGGTGAGGGACCTTGTCAAAGGCTTTCTGGAAATCTAATTATTTTATATCCACTGGATCCCCCTTGTCCACATGTTCGTTGACCCCCCTCAAAGAACTCTAGCAGATCAGTAAAGCAGGATTTCCCTTTACAGAAACCATGTTAACTTCCCCCAACAAATTATACTCATCCATGGTTCTGACAATTTTATTTTTTACTAGAGTTTCAACTAATTTGTTCAGTACTGACTGTATCAGAGGTAGCAGTGTGGGGTGCCAGGCAGGAGCTGGTCTGCAACGGGAGCCAGTTTAAAAACCAGCTCCCCTCGCGGACTGGCTACCTGTCACTCTGTACTGCTGCCTCTGTATTAGCAGCTGCTGTCTAGGTGAGGAGCTGAGCTCCTGGACCCAGCACAAGCCAGAACTGAGCCAGGCTGCCTGTCCACCTGGCTCCCAATACACTTTAAATGCAGAGCCGCAGCGAGAACTGAGCAGGGCTGCTGGCCAGCCTGCTAAAAAATTACTGGCAAGTGGGAGAGGGAAATGCATGTAGTCTATAACATTAACCTATAAGCTTTTGCTTATCGGTTAATCAACTACACTATTATATTCCTAATTGACTGTCTATACCTAGGCGCTAGGTGTGCACTGAGCCTTAGAAAGACACATTAGCAAGAGCCAAATCTCTCCCCGCATCTGAAACTAGGCTGAAGTAAACACTGGCTGGTATGGACTAGATCGGTGGTTCTAAAACCATGGGCCACTTGTGGCCTAATCAGCACACAGCTGTGGCCCACATGACATTGTAAGGGCCATGCAAGCAATGTATAGTGTGGATGCAGCCCATATAACACACAAAGAACTGCCTATGCTGCCCACGTGGTAAATAGGTTAAAAAGGCCTGGACTCAAACTAATAAGTCAGTCCCATCTCTACATTTTGGGACCCAAAGATTTTATTTAATCCATTAGCAAAGAGACACACCTGCATCTTGTCCAGCAATGTTTTTCGCAACACCTTCCCCGGTAACAGTGCATCTCTCTCCTCTCTAAGAGCTCACTTGCTCAGTACACTTGACCTCTTCCGGGTTTAGCATAACTTCCTGTATGTTGAGAAGTGAAATTGGACCCTTACACACAGACTCTGCTGAGATCCTCTTTCTCTGGCACACTTTGCACTGTCCCCTCAGCTTGTTATTTCTCTCTCCAAGACTGACTTTATCTTCTTAAAGGTGAACCTATGTGACTGCAACAATGTGTCTGTGTTCCTGGCTCCCAGTGTGGTAAGTCCAAACGCGCTCTAGTGACTGGTAAACAAGGCTAAGGGTGAAGGGCTGGTTGCTAATTTTCTACTTTGTTGGGCAAATCAGTGAAGAGGGAGGATACTCAAGATAAAGGGATCATTCTGAATGTTGGCAAAAAACTTGTAAGAAAATGGCACTAGATCTATGTATGTTCACGAAATGAACCAAACCCTGGTGCATCTGCCTTAACGAGGAAACTGTGAACATCCTCAAATAGCCCATCATTGTTAGTGTGAGGTTTCCTTGAACAAAGTGTAGTTTCTCTCTGTTCCTGACACAGCAGAATAGTTTGAATATTGGATCTACTGAGAAATTGCCATATGTACTGAGTGACTGCATCCCTAGCAGGATCTACAAGATGCTGAGCACTGGCATGCCCAGAGACTAGCGAAGTACAAGAATGCAGTCAGCACTGTTTAGCTGCAGGGGTGGACACAACACAGTCTGCATTTTGTGATTCAGAATTCCTAAACCTGTTTAGGTGCTGAGCACTTGCACCTTCTGCTTGTTTCAGTGGGGGTAGCATGTGCTGAATGCAAGTGCAAATCTGGCCTAGTTTGGAGAGAGAAAGGGTTAGCATGAGCACTGCTTATTGTGATAGACTGGCAATACTAAGTCTTCCTCGGTGTCTTGCAACAGGGCTTACTGAGCTCCATCTCAGGCAGTGCTGAGAGACACTGCTGGGAAGCTGATTTATTGTCCTGTGGGTACTGCTAAAGAATGGACCTTGCTGTGTCCTTGGCTTGGTATGGGTATTTGCTTCTGGTCTCCATGGAGCACCCCACACCCATTTTCTAGGCCATTAGAGTTTGCTGGTGAGATTAAATGAATTTTTGAACATAAAAGCAAACCTCAATGAAGGTGATGTTTTCTAGTACAGGGGCTCTGTCTATAAATGCGTTTGTACCATGCACACTACAATGGAGTTTTGATCGTGACTTTAAGAGCAGATTGGATAGGCATATATCAGAGATGATCTAGATGGTGTTTGGTCCTACCACAATAGCGGGAGACTGGACTTGATGACCTCTTGAGGTCCCTTCCAGGTTTAGTACTCTATGATAGGCCACTGGATGCTACTTCAGTAGTAATCAAAATGGTAACCAATAGCAAACCTGCAAAAAGTCTCTAGAATGCATAACACACACAGCATCTCTCTCCCCCCATGAGATCTATGACTGTTAGTAACAGATTTTCCCTTCCTCTTCCCCATTAGCTACCTCTCCTAGAGACAAAACTGCTTGCAGAACTGCCGGATGAGGCTCGTGTGGTGTCTGGACGCTTTCCCTTTCCTACCTGGATGCCAACCATCAGTGTTGGAGAGGGTATAAACCAAAGCTGGGCCTATGACATCAAGACTGTACGGCAAATAGAGCACAGCAAAGCTGAGGGAAACCCAGAATGAGTAAACCCAGGTGTAGCTGAGGTTTACAGGACAACAGTTTGGAAGCCGCTGTAGACGAGGGCCCCTCAGAATGACGTGAAGGGTAAATGTGCCTGCTCAGCTGAATAGACCAGCAAGCATTGGGAGGCAGCAGAGAAGGAGTCTGCAATGAGCAGGGAGGGGTGGTGATTTGTCAAACTTTACCCTAGGTGCGCTGGCATCTCTAGAATCAAAATTCTGGGGAGCCTTTGAGCTGGGAAGTTGGAACTGTCGAAAACAAGAGCCGAATCTTTTATTCTTGTTTTGAGAACTCATTTCTCCATTTATTTGCAAGTCATTTTCTAAAAATAAAGGGCTGCAGGACTTGGTTCATCCATCCTTGGGGTGAGGCTGGGAGGCTCTTTGCCCCTCGCTATAGACAACCATTTTGGGCTGTGTTCAGAGTTGCTTTAGGGGAAGGCCCAGTAATGCAGCTTCTCCAGCTCTAGCTCTTCTCCCTGTAAGTCCTCCTCCTATAGTCATCACCCAGCAGGTGTTCCTCGCTGAACAACTTCCCATGAATGCAGAAGAGTAAAGCTGTGTATAAGCGCAACCAAGTTCAGATCCTAACCTGAGCCCTATCTCTAGTCCCTTGTAGCTCAGGTGGCGTGAGTTAGCTCAGTACTTTGCAGGCAACAATCTAGCAGAAGGTGAAGTAACCCTGGTGCTGCAGGCGCGCATAGTAAGCTGAATCCACCAGTTTTGCAGTGGACTTAAGTTCAGAGGAGGGTTCTGCACCATTCTCCTGTATTAGCAGTGGTGCTCTGCAGCTACTTAGCATTTCTGCAACGAACAGGAGATCTTTATGGCCTGCTAGAAGAAGGGAAACCTGACAAAAGATTCAGGGGGAACAATGAACTGAGTTTTGATTGATTGTAGTAAATTTGATTTATCTCCACAGCATCAAATGTATACTGCTGATTTCCTTCTCAGCAAACCTAGTTCTCTAGTAAAAGGGCCCCAATATGAAGAACACTTGCTGGAGTGGATTATCACTTGGCATGACAGAGCATGAAATAGTAGAGCCAGGCAGCCCCTTAGTTTTATATCCTTGTCTGTCTTATGATGAATTAATGGCTGCTGCTTCTCAGGGCCATGGCAAAAGCTACAGTTCATGGCTGATGGTTCTTTTGGGTTTCTGCATTAAGTAAGTATCAGAAGCCCCAGCACTGAATGCTCGGGGTGCCTCAATCCCTACAAGTTTCCTTAACCTCAGGATCTCTTGCTTGTACCTGCAAGAAACATGGGTTACAAAGAAAAGAAATGTCAACCTTCCATCAGAGGTAGTTGTAAGAATCCTGCTAGGGAGTGAGATCCTAAAGCAAAGGGGAAACTGAAGACAAGTTCCCACTATCCAGATAGGGAGAAAACTACAGCTAAGGGCAATGCTAGATTTTTCCTGATCCTTCATCTGAGTGGATGCCAAGGGATTCCATGAGCAACAAGCCTAAGAGTGACACTTGGCATGATTCTGGCCATTTTTCAAAGTGATTAGTTGCAGTTGTACAAGCTAAGTTTGCAGATAATAGCACCTCTTGATGGTTGTAGCACTAGCAGCTTTTAACTCTTGCTTTAGATGTGGTGAACTAGTAATTGACAGCTGACGTTAAATAATTTGCATAGGGAAAAGAAAGGCTTTGGAGTCTAGGCAGTATTCCCTACTCACCCCCTCCTTTGTCTCCTACACAGCCTTCGTCACCCCCTAGGGTGGGCTGCAGCCCTGAGGAAGGAAGTGTATCCTTGGAAAGAACAGATGCAAACTTTTTGTCATGCTGAGCTGCTCACACAGCTGGTTTCTCCTTAGCTAGGCTGCATGGTAGGAAGGCAGCAGTTAGGTGTCTACACTGTAGCAGTTACTACAGTATTCACTGGCCCTGCCAGTAAGCCTTATGCATGGGGGAAGGGATAGATGAAGGGATTCCCCACCCCCTCTCACCTTGCAAGATGCTTATCTACATATTCCTGCAGCTCCAGCAACTGCTCTTCAGCCATAATTGCCCGAATCAGCAGCTGGCTTCTTTCCCTTTCCAGATCCTCCTGGGGGCGGAAATAACAAGGTGAGAAGAAGAAGTGTAATAAGGGAGTGCTTTGGGGGAAAGCGCTGGACTGGTGCTGACTGGCCTCTGAAATACAGGCAGTCCCCGGGTTACATACAAGATAGGGACTGTAGGTTTGTTCTTAAGTTGAATTTGTATGTAAGTCAGAACTGGTACATATTGTAGGGGAAACTCTAGCCAAACATTTCTCCAGAGCTCAGTTTTATTCTCCCACACCTCACTTCCCTCAGTCCTTTATTCTCAAGCTGAGGTATCTGCTGAGAAAAGCCGCTCCGCGTCTCCCTGGTCTGCTGGGGGAGGGGGCGCTAGCTTCGCATCTCCCTGGTCTGCTGGGGGGAAGCAGCTAGTGCGGGGTTGCCTCACCCTGTTTGTAAGTAGGGATCTGATGTAAGTCGGATCCATGTAACCCGGGGACTGCCTGTAGTCTTAAAATCAGAGGCTACTGATTTTCTCATGCACTCACCCTCCACCTCTGAGATTTCTGGGCTTTAAGCTATACATGCTGCCCGATAAACTGAAAATACAAATGAGCATTCCAAAGAGACAAACCACAGGTGTTCAGTGCCCTGAAAACAATGGCATCTTGCCAAGGCAGCCAGTTTTGAGACACTCAGGTGCACTGAGACAGTTTGGGAAGGGAGGAGGTGTTCAACATTAAAGACTTCGGTTAAACAACTAGCAGGAAAAAGTGCTAAAACCAATCCTAAGGTGCCCAGAGTTATCCCCAAATCCCCACAACCTATTCTCTCCACTATGGTGTTGTGGGGACTGGTAGTATGCTTTTAGGAAGTCCAGCAAAGAGATGTATATGACCATCATCCACTTTTCCTGAAAGTGTTTTCAAAGATCTCTTCCCTTTTTAATAAGAATCTCTGGCTCTTATCTAGTACTTTTCATCAGTAGCTCTCAAAGTGATTTACAAGGGAGTATTATCCCCATTTTATGGCTGGGGCAACAGAGGCACAGAGCAGTGCTATGACTTCCCCAAGGTCACCCAGAATGTCAGTGGCCACTCATCTCCTGAGGTTTTAGCTCAGTGCTCTAGCTGCTAGGCCATACTGCTGCCTCCCTCCTTTAGTCCTTGTCTAAATGATTTTTTTTAAAATCAGCTACACGATCATAGAGTATTAGCATGTGATCTCTCCTGAGTAGTATGGTCAGAATAACTCATGATAGGGAAGCATGATTTACTTTGGTGTTTATAACAAATCTAGACTAGGAAACTGAAACCTTGCTAAAAATGCTTTCAGCAGTTATTACCCCACACCGCCTCACCAGTCAGCACTGAAAGTGATCACAGTGCTAGAGTACTATAGGCAATAGTGCTTCAGAAACTGGAGTGTCTACAACAGTCTTTGCTCCTGAATGTTTCCCTTCTTTATAATCACCAGCAGTAGCAAGAAGGGAGCACTAGTGTGTTTCACTACCATGCCACCCAGCCCTACTCAGGGCAAATCTAGACATCATAGTGGTAAAACTGCCACTGGCCACAAGCAACTTGTTTGTGCTGGCACAAATGTCTCCTGTAAGCTGAGCACTTGTGCAGCAGCTCAGGAGAAATTCAAATGCCGCCCAGCTGATTAGCAGAGCACCCATAGTCAGCAGCATGCATATCTACTGGTAATGCACATCCATACATGCATTGGTGCACATAACAAAATTTATTGTGCACATGAATGGAAAAGATTAAAGGGAACCTTGACAGGCACTACCAGTGGTGGTGGTCTCCCAGTGGAGCTGCACTCAGGCTGGTGCACAGATGGAAAATGATAGTAAAGAGTTCAAGCAGGCAGCCACATATTTGATTAAGAAAAGTATCTGTAATGGTAACTGGCAGTGACCATTAAAATTGCAGTAGTGCTTGGTCTGTGCCTCACCCTCTTTTCAGTCTGCCTCAGAACCAAACATTTTACCTGGGTAGTATGTGTGAACTCTCGAAGCTGCTTCCTGATCTCTGCCCAGCCTTCCTCATCCAGTTTGCTAGGGTAGAGCAGCGGATGTTAATTGCAATCATTTATACAAAGCCAGACCATTCTGAAACTATGGGACTCTGCATGACCACCAGACATGCTATTGCCTTTTCAGCCTGATTCCCTGTATGACTGCAGAGCCCATCTCTATTCCCTCACATACCAGGGCAATGAGAGTCACAGATCCTACAACCTGGCTTTGTATGGGAGAGGCTGGGCTTGCCCTTAGTTTACATCATCAAACAAACATGAAAAAAATTCAGTGCAGAAATAATCATTAACCTGACAGCAAGTCTGAATTTTCTGGGGGAAAAAAGGAGAGAGGCTCAATAAATACCACACACTAGCACTTTTCTTTTTGTGCTTCTGCACAAATTCACTCATTGTAATGTAAGGATGTTAAAATGCTATTATCTGGTTAATCCTGTAGTGGATACAATTGTATCCACTATATGATTAGTCAATAAGAGCTGTAGCAGAGCCAACTCCAGCAGGGAATGAGCAGTCCTGGCTTGTGCCGGCTCCGGAGCCACCTGCGCTACTCAGTCCCGGCTTGTGCTGAGTAAAGCAACCCTTGCTTGCAGTGGCCAGGGCTGGCCGCAGGCAGGGACTGCTCAGACAGCAATCCCCTGTCCATGGCCAGTAATGGCTGCCATGAACAGGGGCTGGTGCTGGAGCAATCTCTGTTCACAGTGGACAGGAGCTGCCACCTAAGGGCTGCATGGTAGCAACAGCCCTCCTCTGCCGTGGGAGAGGGGACAGGCAGCACCCTGGAGACAGTGCTGGGGGGAACCAGCTCCTGTCCATGCCCCTTGCGCCGCAGAGAGTGAGGGGCGAGCGGGGACTGCCTGAGTGCTCTCTGTGGCACATCTGCTTTTGAAATGTGCAAGAGCCCTGGAGGAGCAGTCCCCACTCATGCCGTTTCCCTGTTGTGCCTCTGCCTTCTCTGCCCCCTATGGAGATGGTGTGAGGGGAGGGCGGGAGGGAGGCAACTGCCTTAAAGCCTGCTTCCCTCTCCTCTTGCTGCCTCTCTCTGATAGAGGCAGCGGGGGGAGGGAGGGGCGCGCT